CCCCTTGTGATTCTAACATGCAGCCAAGTTTGAGAGCCAATGACATAGAATGAACTCAGAACATTGGTTGGATGGATGGATGAATGGATGATGGATGAATAAAAAGATATTGTAAATAAAAAATTTGGAGCTCTAGTCCCAGCACTGCCACTAACATGATATGTAACCTAAACAGTGTCACACTACTTTCTAAACACCCATAGTTGCACTAGGTGCCTCCTAAGATCTCTTCCTGCTTCAAGACTTCATGATTTCCCTTCTTAGTGACAGCAAGAGCTCAGAAGGAAAGGATCAGGAGAAACATGAGGACAGAATGATTGAGGCTTTATAGAAAACTTTATCCAGGATAAAGGTGATCCTAATGGGAAGCTCAGTATTATGATACTCTTTTACCCAGGGAAGAAAGTATTTGTGAGGGCCTTGAGAATCTTGCACTTAGAAGAACATCACATATCTCTGTATTGGAGGTGGAGAGGAGACAAAATAATCCCTTAATATGTTATATTATTAATATAACTCTCAATATCCCACTAGGAAGACAAAGTATGTGTGTGGATACTCTGAACCAGAGTAGCGGGAGAGAGATACATTCATCTAAGACAGTCCTCACAAAGCTGCCTTGTCTCCAAGGCTGTGCAGCGTTCCTCTCTCAAAAATGGGCTACTCAAACATTCTTAAGCTGTTTTGCTGAGATCTTAAACAAACAAACCCATGCTGTCAACTCAACTCTACTACTGTCACCTTACACAGTTAAAACAGGACAGTTTCTCTTTTTTTAATTATTATTATATTTTTCCATTACCATTTAGTCCCCTTATACCCTCTTCCCCCCAGCTATCATCATACTGTTGTCTATGCCCATGAGTCCTTTTTCCTTTTTGCCCCATTGCTTTACCTTCTAACCTCCCCTTACCCTTAATACTGTCTTCTCTCTATCTATGAATCTGTCCCCATTTTCCTTGTTAGTACAGTTTGTTCATTAGATTCTATATATGAATGAAATCATATGGTATTTGTCTTTCTCTGACTGGCTTATTTCATTTAGCATAATGTTCTCCAGATCCTTCCATACTGCTGCAAAGGGTAAAATTTTCTTCTTTTTTTACAGCATAGTAATATTACATTGTATAAATGTTCCATTGTTATAAACAGGACACTTTCTTACTGGGAAAGATAGACACTCATATTTATTAAAAACATTACAAAGGTTTTTATAAGAGAGGACTTCTGTATAGCCTACCCCAGCAATTTTCAACTGGTGTTCAATAAGGGGCACATTGATGTGCTGCAAGAATTTTTAAAATATGTATTACCTGAATATTTACTCAGGGGCACTAACCTCTTCTTCCTTAGACTCTCAAATTTAAAAAAATGACAATAGCCAACACAGCAAAAGCTCTCCAGTGTGAATGAGTCAAAATTATTCCTGTTTTTGTCATATTGGCAAAAAATATATTTTTTGGCATGCTGCAAAATTTTAGTAGTTTAAGTGTGCCATGAGATGAAAAAAAGTTGAAAATTGCTGGCCTACCTGAGTTCTATTATTCTTCAGGTTCTATTCCCTGGGTTGCTTTAAATACAGCTACTGTGGCTCACCTGCTAAATGAGATTTTGCTTCCTGTCCCAAAGCATCAGTACCTGCCTGGTCACCCAACAGTGGCTACAGATAGCACTCTATTTTCCTTCATTCTATACTATTTCAGAGAAGGACAATTTTAAGATAACAAAAATAACACATTTGGGAAATTATGAGTGTGGGCACCTTAAAAATTGAGTTTCTGATTCCCAGCCAAGATGGAGGCATAGATAGATACACTGTGCCTCCTCACACAACCAAAAGAAGGACAACAAATTAAAAAAAAAAACAACAGTACTGCCAGAAATTTTAATTGTATGGAAATCTGACAGCCAAGGAGTTAAAGAAGAAACACTCATCCACACTGGTAGGAGGGGTGGAGACAGGCAGCCAGGGGTGGAGAGGACTCATGGAAAGGTGGCAGCTAGAGGACTGGGGCAGGCAAGGTGGCAGCTTGCAGAGCATGTGGTCCCACACCTGTGTGTGGGTAAACCAGGAGGAACAACTGGGGAGCGGGACAGACCACTGTGCTGGAGAGCACAGGGAAATAAAACCTTGAAACTTCTGACTAAAAAAATCTGTGGGGGTTCAGGCAGCAGGAGAAATTCCCACCCTCACAGGAGAGTTCATTGGAGAGACCCAGAGGGTCTTAGAATGTACACAAAAACACCCTCCTGAGAATCAGCACCTGAAGGGCCCAATTTGCCTGTGGGTAGTAGAGGAAGTGATTGAAAGCTGGCAGAGAGCTAACAAGCTGCATCATTCCCTCTTGGACTCCTCCCTCACATACAGCGCCACAAGAGAGCAAAGTGGGTTTCCACACCATGGCAAATACTTAAGGCTCTGCCCCTTACTATGTAACAGGCTCACCCAGACCGCCCCCTGCAGAAAAAAAAAAAAGCCCCAAATGAAAGAACAGATCGAAACTCCAAAAAAATACAACTAAGCAACGAAGAGATAGCCAACCTATCATGTGCACAGTTCAAAACACTGGTAATCAGGATGCTGACAGAAATGGTTGAGTATGGTCACAAAATAGAGGAAAAAGTGAAGGCCATGCAAAGTGAAATAAAGGAAAATGTACAGGGAACCAACAATGAAGGGAAGGAAATCAGGACTAAAATCAACAGTTTGGGGAAAGAAGAAATAAACATTCAACTGGCACAGAATGAAGAAACAAGAATTCAAAAACATCAGGAGAGGCTTAGAAAACTCCAGGACAACTTTAAACATTCCAATATCTGAATCACAGAGGTGCCAGAAGAAAAAGAGGAAGAGCAAGAAATTTAAAACTTATTTGAAAACATAATGAAGGAGAACTTCCCCAATCTGGCAAAGGAAATAGACTTCCAGAATGTCCAGGAAGCTCAGAGTCACAAAGAAGCTGGACCCAAGGAAGCACACACCAAGACACATCATAATTACATTACCCAAGACTAAAAAGGAGAGAATCTTAAAAGCAGCAAGAGAAAAGGAGACAGTCACCTACAAAGGAGTTCCCATAAGAAGATCAGCTGATTTCTTAAAAGAAACCTTACAGGCAAGAAGGGGCTGGGAAATAGTATTCAAAGTCATGAATGAGTAGTCATGAATGAGTAGCATAAATGGCAGGTAGAAAATAGATAAGGGGAGGTTAACAATAGTATAGGAGAGGTAGAAACCAAATAACTTATATGTATCACCCATGGACATGAACTAAAGGGGTGGGAATGCAGGTGAGAGGGGATGTGCAGGGCATAGGGGAATAAAGGGGAGAAAAAATGGGACAACTCTAATAGAATAATCAATAAAATATATTAAAAATAAAGATATGCCAGGAAAAAAAAGAAATTGGGTTTCTTTGGCTTCACTATGTGGGCTATTTCTACTTCATATTTTAATACACATAAAACTAACAGTTCCCATCTTAAAACTTTAACTTGCATATTCAAATTTTTTAAATTATTGAGGACTGGAGGGTGGTCCATGCGGTTTTATCAGTACACCTGCATTTAACAAGGAAATGGCAGTGCATAAGGCCTTTCTAATCATATGTGTACTTGGGTTCCAGAGACACCTGACACCTCTTTTGTCAGGATAAACTCCAGAAATGTGGGGTACAAAAGGCGGGAAGAATTTCTTCAAGGACAGACATTTACGGAATACCCATTTTTTACGATTCTAGGGCAGCAGAGAGGAAACACACAAAACCTATTTGATCACAAGGAGCTCATAGCCTCAAACTGCTGTCCCTCCGCCAACACACACAGAGAGGGAAGAATCAAAAGTTTTCACAAGTCATCTCTTCCTTCATCACTTAAATATGTAACCGGAAAAGACACCTGCGTTCGGGCTGCCTGTCACTACCAAATCCAATAAGCAATGACAGTGATTGAATCTTTTATAGGCGCTTTATTCAGATGGCCGGCGATCCAAGAAGATGGCAGGTTCATACCCTAACAAACCATCTTACTCTTTCTTTCCTGGCCAGATCTTTTATAAGGGGGTTAGGGGAGGGCAAACAAGGTGTCAGCGAAAGCCTTTGAAATTCAACAGTTGCCTCCAAGGGGGAAGGGTAGTCGCTTGCTTCTTCCTAGTACAGACGTCTCCAAGAGGTCATCTGCTTATTCTTAGGTGCCAAGATAGGCCTTATCTGTAGTTACTGAAACAAAAACTTAACATACACATTATTTGCTAGATTTATGACTATTTACCTTAAGCTAAATTTTCCCAAGTCTTAAGCCCCTATCAAAAATAAGAAAATGCTGGAAAAGTGATTATGGAGTAGGTACAGTGGCTTGTGGCCAGGAAGACAAGTCTTTTAAGTAACTGCCATCCTCTGGGATAGATAACGGGTGCATCATGTAAGCGATGTGGCAGCTAAAAAAATAACCGCATTCTCTGAGACCTTCCCTAAAGGAAGACCAGAAACTGGGTAGGGGAACATTATCCCAGACGAGTTTTCCTTGGGAACAAGATGTACTGGCTCAGAAATTAGCGAGGCTTGCATGCGCGAAGAATCCTTTTCCAGGGTATCGGTCCCCGGTCCATATAAAAAGTTTCCGAATTAATCAGGGGACACCCGATTCTGAGCTAGCACCAGGCCTGAATTCGGAATCCCCAAGCTCATCAGTGCTGGAACTCTGACCACGGAGCTAGGAGGCTTCTTAAGTCCTGGTGAGGGAGAACCGAACCCACTTGAGTTATGAGACTGAGAAGCAGAGAGGGGAACCGGAATGCAAAATTCCCCAAGACACAGGAGTAGTCCCTTTAACAAAGCACCTTGGAGGAAATGCCCAGCCCCAGTGCAAAGATTCCGCAGAACGACGGCCTCCAAAGCAAGACCCAAGTTCTCAGGTCACCTCGTCCCGCAGCGAGCAGGCCACCCCGGCGCTGACGCAGGCGCGCCTCATTCCGGCCTCAGCACGCATGCTCCGTAGGGCAAAGGCGCTCTCGGCTCCGGCGGGGGCGGAGGAAGTACCAGCTTTGCACTTCACCCCGGTAGCAGCTTCGCGGCGGGGGATAGCTTTCTCTGGGGGCCCCACGGACTTGGGTGCTACCCGCACGTCTGTCCAGCCGGATCATGGGGTTACCTAAGGGGCCAGAGAGCCAAGGTGTCCCAGAGGTGAGGAACCCCCTCTTCTTGACATGTCAGGCTCCTGAGAGAGGGCTGAGTAAGCCAGGTGGCGGGCATGGAGGACCCCGGCTGCGTTTGGGGCACCCCGTCCCCTCCCTCAGGTGTGTTCAGAGGCTGGGTCCGCTGGGCCTGAGCAAGTCCTCCTGTGTGGGCGGGGACTAACTTGAGCAGTCTCGGGTCTGCTAGGACTGAGGTGGCCTTCCCAGCCCAATAACTGCCCCAGCGCAGCCCTAAGTGCCGCGGACCCAGGGTCCCACCACTCTCGTGCTCCGGGGCAGTTTACCCGGACCCTGGGCGCCGCGAGGCTCGGCCCGGAGGGCAAGGGTGTTACACCAGGAGTCACGAGACTTGCTTTGGGATGGTCTGGGCTCGGGTTGTGCAACAGCGGGTGGCCTCGCGCCTGCAGTTGCCTCACTAGACCCGCGGGGTTCTGGCGGCCAGCCCCACCCGCCTTGGTCCCTGGAGGGAACACCCCCCTACAGTAACCCCTATGCTGGGACCCGGTGGCATTAGGACGCTTGGGGACCGTGCTCGGCTGGGTCAGCTTGCCGCGCTTCCTGTGGTGCTGCGTGGCAGAGGGACGCAGCAGTGGGCAGAAACGTTGCTGCTTATCTGGAAGATAACTGGTGCCTTTTCTTCCAGAGGTGTTTATTATTAAGTACTCACTCGGTCCTAAGGAATGGGATAATCAGTTGTTTCCGGTTCTCCAGTTGCCTCGGAATAAAGGGAAAGTGCGTTTCCTTCTGGATGCAAGTATCACTTAACTAGGTGGTTTACAGCCTTCTCTTGTGCATTCACTTGAAAGCTAGTCTAGTTTTTTACATTCTTGCAAGAAATGGAATCCACGCTGCATCTCTTTCTCTGCCTAAGGTTCTGAAGCAGGCCTTGGCAGGGGACTGATTTCTGGACATGATGAGTGGTCCCTTTCCTCTTAGCTGTCTGTGGCCAGTCTTGCTTCTCTGTCCTCCTCCCGCTCAGTTCTTTCATCTCACTAGTACCCACTAATTGAGAGGTCACTGTTTTGTGCATAAAAGCTGGGATGTGGTGATGGAAAGATAGACTTACCTATCAGTCAGTGTGTGTTCTGTCCCTAGAATGCAAGTCCATTTGTTATCTTAGGAATCCTAACAAGGGTAAGGTTGTCAGAGCCTTTGTATTAGGTAAAACCTTACACTCAAGATGCTTTGATGATGCCAGGAATTGTGAATACTGGGATCTGTACTGTGATATTTTATTTAACATTTTTTTTGCCATTTCTTTATTCTAGGCTCTTAGGAAGTTTTTTCCCTAGTCTTTGGCTGTAGACTTCTGTCTTCCTGGTTCTACTTTAGATACATTGGATTCAATGTCCCTCTACCAAAGGAGATCTTTATAAAATAACAAGCAACCTGCTTCTGTGTGTACTTTGTTTAACCCTTCTCTTACTGCTAGGAGGCTAGGTCTTGCTTTTCACTTTTCCAAGAGCCTGGGACAGTTCTTGCCAATCAGGAGGCAGACAAGGTGACTATATAATCAAGTTATATCATTTAGTTAAAAAACCAGTATGTATAGGCTGTGTCATTAAGCTGTTACTAGTCCTGTTAATTTGTTAACTTCAGTTTTTTAAACCCTTAATGGCATGCAAGTGGAGGATAGAAAGATAGCTTAGGACTTGGCCCTGCTCTCCAGCTTACGTGGATATACAGTAGAAGGCAATTGAAAATTTAGTGTGCCTGGTTAAGGAGCTCACAGTCATTCATCTTCACCACAATTTTGTTTTTTTAACAATTGTATGTATTACCCAGCCTGGCTTTTTATGACTTTAAGGAGACATTCTTTCATGCTCTTTTTCATTTTGTTTCAGTGTTAATCTGTGAAACGAATTTGGAGTCTTATTAGCATTATCCATATCTTGTGCCCAAAAGTTATTTCACAGTTTATGTTGCCATGGCATACTTCTCCAGTCTGGGGGTGAATGGTTGAGAAGCATGGGCCATGCATCTTCCATGGGGTGCTCCTTAGGTAGAAGTTGAGGCAGGCATGATCATCCCATGATATGCTCTACTCTTCTTAGAAGTGTTTTTATGATAAATGATGATTAAACAAATGAAAGCTTTCTGTTTTATATTCCAGGAGTTTTAAGAAAGTACTTCTATCATCCCATTTTTCTTTTCTATCTTTGTGAACCATAACTGTTTCATGCCTTCTCTTTCATTTGAATTTCTCTACTTGTAGCTGTTTTTCACCCATCATATGTCTTTTGCCAAGGAAGAGAAGGTGTGAATAATTAATACTACATTATTTTTGCATGTCCAGTAGTAATTAGTGAGTGGTATGCTTTAGAATTTTGATAGGCTGGACCAAGGCCATTTGGGAGTTAAGTTAAATGAGTAAGTGGTGCATGGTTGTCATCTCCACCCCTGCCATTGGATTAACAGTCACTTTAATTCCTTGTTCAACTATATGTTCATATGTATGCTCCCTCTCCTGGCAGTTTGTCCTTCAGAATAAACTTGAATTCCCATTATCAGTGTCATTACTACAAAAACATTTTGCTAATATGTGACTGGTGTAGGTCATGCACTTTATGTAATGACTGATCATGTCATTTCTATAACAAGTGTGTCTTTGAAGCCTAGCTGTTTCAGAACAGAGGGATGAACATGGATGAATAATGTATGGGTCCTCTCCTGAACCAGCTAATATAATAGTCTATTTGGGACAACAGGCATGTTCATTAACACCAGACATGCCACTCAAAGGAGGTTGTTACTTAATTGTGTGAATAACATGAATTATAAATAAAATAGAAATGCAGAGAAATGATCATTTCAGGCTCTATTTGTAGGGTTTGGCTTCAAATAGGAGCTAGAATTTGAAGATAATTTCTGGATGTTCAGAGAATGTTAGAAGGGGACTGGTGTGAACACTGGTTGTCTGTGTTGGCCATAGCCATGTCTGGATTGTTTTGAGGGGAGGTGAAGGATGAAGCTGAAAATATAGGTTGCCACTGAAGATCTGGATGCCAAACTAAGACATTTGGAGTTTATCTTATAGGTATTGTCTATAAGTGATGCAGTAATGATGAAGAAGGCCAGGGGATGAGCTAAAAAGATAATGATGTGAAAGCTGTAATTCAGAAACAAATGAGCAAGACAAATTAACAAAGAAGAAAGATTGAGAGGCAGTTGCAATAGTCCTGGCATGAAGTGTAAATAAAAGGGAAGGGAGGATTAATGTGAGGTGCATAATAAAGGAAGATTTTAAAGTCATTGTTGAGTAAGGGAGTAGTCAGAAGTGGGTACAAGGATTTGAACCAGGATACTTTGGTGGTGGTTTATATAGATAAATTTTCAAAAAAATTTTCTGCAGTGATGCAAGAGAGGAAAGGCACAGCTCATGAACGTGAATGGAAGCAAAAGTACTAGAAAATTTAGATATATTTGACTTGTAAAGAAACACCTGGGAGTAAGTGAAGGTAGAATATTAATTAAAATGGTTAAATCAAATCTCTATATATTACATAAATTTATTGTTTTATTGATTATGCTTTTACAGTTGTCCTGAATTTTTCCCCTTTTACCTCCCTCTACCTAGCACACCCCAGTCTCTCAGGCAATACCCCCACCATTGTTCATGTCCATGGGTTTCATATAAGTTCTTTGGCTACTCTATTTCCTATACTGTACTTTACATCCCCATGGCTATTCTGTAAATACCTATTTTTACTTCTTTTTAAAAATTTTAAACTATTTTTTATTGATTGTGCTATTACAGTTTTCCCAATTTTTCTCCCTTTATACCCCCTCCAACCTGCCCCCTAACCCTCTAGCATTCCCCACCCTTTAGTTCATGCCCATGGGTTGTACGTATAAGTTCATTGAGTCCTCTGTTTCCATTTTTTATCTTTCCCCATCTATTTTATGCTTACTAATTATGCTTCTTCCCTGTACCTTTCCCGCCCATTCCTCCTTTACCCCTTCCCGCTGAACTCCCTCTGTGTGATGTCCATTTCTCTGATTCTGTTCCTGTTCTGGCTGTTTGCTTAGTTTTGGTTTTCGTTGTTTTTCTTTTCTTTTAGTTTCATTTGTTGATACTTATGAGCTTGTTGTCATTTTACTGTTCATGTTTTTTTATCTTTTTTCTTAGATAAGTCCCTTTAACATTTCATATAGTAAGGGCTTGGTGATGATGAACTCCTTTAATTTGACCTGATCTGAGAAGCACTTTATCTGCCCTTCCATTCTAAATGAAAGCTTTGCTGGATAGAGTAATCTTGGATCTAGGTCCTTGCCTTTCATGACTTGGAATACTTCTTTCCAGCCCCTTCTTGCCTGTAAGGTTTCTTTTGAGAAGTCAGCTGATAGCCTTATGTGAACTCCTTTGTAGATAACTGTCTTCTTATCTCTTGCTGCTCTTAGGATTTTCTGTTTGTCTTTAATCTTGGTGAATTTAATGATGATGTGCCTTGGTGTGTTCCTCCTTGGATCCAACTTCTTTGGGACTCTCTGGGCTTCCTGGGCTTCCTAGAAGTCTATTTCCTTTGCCAGATTGGGGAAGTTTTCCTTCATTATTTGTTCAAATAAGTTTTCAATTTCTTGCTCTTGTTCTTCTCCTTCTGGCACCCCTAGGACTTAGATGTCAGAGTGCTTAAAGTTGTCCCAGAGAATATTCAGCCTCTCTTCATTTTTTTTAATTCTTGTTTTTTCATTCTGTTCTGGTTGGATGTTTATTTCTTCCTTTTGTTCCAAATCATTGCTCTGAATCCTGGTTTCCTTCTTGTCACTGTTGGGTCCCTGAATATTTTGCTTTATTTCATTTTGGGTATGTTTCATTTGTTCTTTCATTTTGTGACCAAGCTCAATCAGTTCTGTGAGCATTTTGATTACCAGGGCTTTAAATTCTCCATCAGTTAGGCTGGCAATGTCCTTACCACTTAGTTCTGAGGTTTTGCTCTGTTCTTTCATTAGGGCCATATTTCTTTGTCTTGACACACCGGTCTGGTTGTTCTGGTTGATTTTTTCTTTAATTCCTTGGTTGTCTGAGTTCCATGCAGTTTGATTTTCTGGTGCTTCTGGTTGTTTTTTTGATTTTAGATTGGTTGTCATCCTCCTTTTGGTTGTGAGAGGAAGTGAAGGGTTTCTACCTACACCTCCATCTTGGCTGGAACTCCCCGCTATTTTTACTTCTTAATCTCCTCACCTCGTCACCCATTCTCCCCCACCCCTCTCCCATCTGGCAACCATCAAAACATTCTCCATATCCATGATTCTGTCTCTGTTCTTCTTGTTTGTTTAGTTTGTTTTTCAGATTCAATTGTTGATAGATATGTATTTATTGCCATCTTATTATTTATAGTTTTGATCTTTTTCTAAAATAAGTCCCTTTAACATTTCATATAATAAGGATTTGGTGATGATGAACAACTTTAGTTTTTTCTTATCTTGGAAACGCCTTATCTTCTCTTTGATTATAAATTCTAGCTTTGCTGGGTAGAACAATCTTGGCTGTAGGTCCCTGCTTTTCATGACTTTGGATAACTTTAACCTTTGGCATTTTAATTATGATGTGTCTTGTAGTGGGCCTCTTTGCATCCATCTCATTTGGGACTCTCTGTGCTTCCTGGACTTGCATGTCTATTTCCTTCACCAAGTTAGGGAAGTTTTGTTTCACTACTTTTTCAAGTAGATTTCCAATTTCGTGCTTTCTCTTCTCCTTGTGGCACCCATATACCCATATGATATGAATGTTAGACCTCTTGAAGTTGTCCCAGAGGCTGCTTATACTATCCTCATTTTTTTTTTGGATTATTTTTTCTTTTTATTGTTGTGGTTGGTTGGTTTTTGCTTCCTTATATTCCAAATCATTGATTTGATTCTCAGCTTCATCCATTCTTCTGTTGTTTCCCTGTAAATTGTTCTTTATTTCAATTAGTCTATCCTTACACTTTGGGAAGTCCAAATTTATTATTTTTAAGGGAGTTCTGTTATATGGCAATAAGGCCCTTTAATATCTCTGGGTTAAAAGCCTTCTTTATATTTGCGTTAAAGATCAAAATTAGTAGTGTAGAGAGGCGTACATATTTGAATTAATTTTTCTTGCACCTTTTTAAAACAATTGGGACCAAAATGAGTATGAAGTTAAAAATGAAAAATAAAAACCACCTTGTTCCTGTCTGTAAGGAATTTATAAACTATTTGAGAGCCTGTCAGGTAAACTGTGTGTAAGAGAACAGGGAGGTAATGTGCCTTAATCTCCCTTTCTCTGGTTCCTTTATTCAAGGTAGCATTTATAAGCCCTTTACATTTTGTTTTAGGTAGAAACAAGAGAAGATGAAGAACAAAATGTCAAATTGACTGAAATTCTGGAGCTCTTGGTTGCAGCTGGGTATTTTAGGGCAAGAATTAAAGGCTTGTCACCTTTTGATAAGGTAAGAGGAAATGTTTCTAAACCAGTATGCTTTTTCTTTTTTTTTTTTTTTGGTTAGGATAGCATAGTTAATTAACCATGGAAGGGAGAAGAGATTGTGTTTTTACTTCTCCGTGTCCATGTTTCCCTTTCTACCTTATTCAAGTTCATTATGGAAATGTTCAAATTTCTTATTAAAAGAAAATAATATGTCAATAGATATACTTTGAATTCCTTTTCTATGCACGAAGCTTTGGGGAATGCAAATAAGCAATCGAAATTCCTCATTTTGAGGAACTTACATTTGGGGTGGGAAGATAAAACTTATGTAAAATAAAATAATCTGAGTTAATGAGCTATCCCAAGTCAGTGTGCTCACAGACAATTACCAGATTTTCTTTGGATGAATGGTAAATGCTTCATTGGGAGGAGGGAGAAGTCACTATGGGGTGAAGTTTAATTCAGCAGAACCTGAAACAATTATTATTCACAAGGCTTAGTAATAGGTGTTGAGGGCACAGAGATAAGACAGACACCCTGTAATCAAAGGATCTGACCTCTATAGCATAGGAAAGAGAGACAGAAAAAGCAACATGCATAGAATAAAGAGCATGATGCAGTAAATACTACTGCAGTGAACTATACACAGAAATGAAGCATCCTGGTCAGACAGGGCAGGCTGAGAAAGCTTCCAATGGTGGAAGAAAGTGCTGAGTGCTCCGGTGGGCCACAGCCCTGGCTGCCTGTTACAGAATCATTGTGGATTGTTTTAGAATATAGATGTCTAGGCCTCACCATTGAAATTCTGGTCAATTAGATCTGGACTGGGACCTGGAATGTATATGTTATTAGGTATCTCAGTTCACAGCACAGCTAGAAGTAAGATTCACTGGTTTTTGGGGTTTTTTACGTCAAGTTGTGTTCAAAAAGGGTTTTGTTTCAAAATGGATTTTTAGCTTTCATGTCATTTGCATCTCAGAGAAACCCAGTGAAAAAAATAGAGCAGGGATTCACGTTTCCTTTTGGTAGCTGAAAAAAACATAAGATGTATGGAAATTAAGTAATGAGCCATAAAATCTCAGTTTTGCTACTAATGTGTCTGGTCCATAAAACACATGGAAGCCTGAAACTGGGTGGTTAAGGCTTCTCTCATTTGAACATTAATGTCTGTCTCCTTCAGTATAAAGAAAGTCAAGTGTGATATGTCCATTTAGTAATAAAAATCAGTTTCTTAGTCACACTAGCCACATTTTGGGGGCTCAGTAACTACATGTGGCTAGTAGCTGCTCTGTTGGACAGTGAAGATACAGAACTTTTCTATCACTGCAGAAAGTTTTATTCAACAGTGCTATTTTAGATGAATTGTAGTTGATAAAGTCAGGACATATATATCCTCTCTAACAATAGATAATTTTGTATGTTGAGACTGTAAAAAATATTTATTTATATTTTTAACTACTTTTCACTTCTTCCCCTCTCTCCAAGCTAGAAAGAGAAAACATATTTTCTTTGTCTTGCAGGTGGTAGGAGGAATGACATGGTGCATTACCACTTGCAACTTTGACATAGATGTTGATTTGCTCTTTCAAGAAAACTCTACAATAGGTCAAAAAATGTAAGTTGTTAGGGTTTGCCTAAAGGGAAAAGGAGAGTAGCATTTGAGTGTCTACTATATGCCAGAGGATGTGCTAGACATTTTTACATATTTTATTTTAATTTTCATTATAACAGGTATTATCACAGTTTTATAGATTACAAATCTGAGGCTGAAAGAAGCCATGGTCACACAGGTAGCATATAAGAGTCATTTTAATGTTTAGGCTCTGCCTAACACTTTTTTAAACTTTTTTCCAGTTTTTTTGAGATGTAATTGATATATAATGTCATATTAGTTTAAGGTGTACAACGTAATGATTTGATGTATATACATATAGTGAAATGATTACCACAGTAAGTTTAGTGAACATCTATCCTCTCACACAGGTATACATTTTTTCCCTTATGATGAGAACTTTTAACATATATTCTCTTAGCAACTTTCAGATATATAATGTAGTATTGATAAAAATAGTCAGCATGCTATACATTAAATCCCCAGAACTTATTTACCTTATAATGGAACTTTGTACCTTTTGACCACCTTTGCCCATTTTGCCCACCCCCACCTCTGCCAACCACCAATCTGTTCTCTGTTTCTATGAGTTCGGTTAAGTAAGATCATACATATTGTCTTTCTCTGTCTGACTTATTTCATTTAGCACAGTGCCCTCAAGGTCTATCCATTTTGTTGCAAATAGCAGGATTTCCCTCTTTTTTATAGATTCATAATATTCCATGGTATATACACTAAATTTCTTTCTTCATTCATCTGTTGATGAACACTTAGGTTGTTCCCATGTCTTGGACATTGTAAATAATGCAGTGAATATGGGAATGCAGGTAACTCTTTTAGATAGTGATTTTGGTTCCTTCTAATATATGCCCAGAAATGGAATTTCTGGATCATCTGGTAGATCTACTTTTAATTTTTTGAGAAACCTCCAAACTGGTTTCCACAGCAGCTAGACCAATTTACAGTCCCTCCAACAGTACACAGGAAAAGAAAAAAGGTTTCTTTTCTCTAGCACTTGTTATCTCTTGTCTTCTGGATGACACGTATTCAAACAGGTGTGAGGTGATGTCTCATTGTGGTTTTGATTTACTGTACATTTCCCTGATGAGTAATGCTGGTCAACAACTCTAATACTTTTTCTTGATGAAAGTTTCTATAAACTGCTTAGTGTATCTCTTTCTAATGGCAGCTAATTTCAATGGAAGTTGAATAGGGTGAGAAAAAGAGAATCTTTCCCTCCCTGTTGCCTTTGTGAAAGACAGAGCTTCACTTTAGAGAAGGCATGGGCTCCTTGCTAGAGATTTCACCTGGGGGCCCCCTGGCTGGTCTTCCATAGCTCACCAGGAGCTTGATGATTTAGTTAGACCTTTTGGTATCCCCAGTTCTGCTCCCAGCCTTGGCATTGTGTATGTGTTACCTTAGGCAAGCCTCAGCTCCCTTATCTGTGAGAAGAGAGATTTGTGACCTCAGATCTGAATGATTCTGTGACTCACTTACTATTTTTTTTTGAAGTCTTATTCTCCCTCAGGAAAAAAAAACACTACCCAATGAATTAAAGATGGTTTACAAATATGCATATGAAGCAGTAATCACTGAAAGTTGAGGCAAAGATAAAGAGAAGGGAAAGGGAAAAACAATGGAGACAAAAGGCAGAGTTGGGAATAAGGCTAACACATCTTCGATGGGCCACAAAATGCCTTGTTTTCTTAAGGGTGGGCTACAGATTTAATTCTGAGCTTCTGGCAGACAACAAAAAGAAAAACAATAAATGACCCAGTTCACAGTTTCTATATAGTAAAAGAAAAATCAGTCCCTCAGAATCACCAAAATTCTTAATACTAGGACCATTTCTCCAGATACCTGTTATTTAACACAGTGACACTGTTCTCATCAGTGCCCAGGCCATGAAGAATGGGACTCTGCATCCCTAAAACCTGCTGCTGTGAGACTGTGGGATCATATCCTGCCAGCAGTACTGACAAGTCCTGCACTGGGAGGCAGTGCAGTGGAGTCCAGGTGTCTGGATTTGCTCTCTGCTGGTCAGGCTAAATCAAGAGATAACTTTTTATTACTGTCTTTTTGTTTGTTTTTATTATGTAGGTGTTGTATCCACGAAGTTAAAAAAATTCAGATACTACCAAAGGGAACAAAATATACAGCTGTCTCCCCCACCCTCCCCATTCTATATACCAGTTTAATTTCCTGGAAAGAATCATCTTTGACTATTTAGGTTTTAGATTGTTCGGAGTGGTAACTTCTGCATCTCCCAACTATGTATACACTCTGTTTCATTTGTGTCTGATGAGAAGAGGAAATTAGCTCCCCTATACTGCTCAGTACATCCATCTTCCATCTTCCAGTCTTTTATTACCTGCTTTTCTGTGATCACTTGTATAATTTTAATCTATTTAACCCTCTATTTCTTGGCCTACAAATATAAGATAGTCTCTCCTGGCTCCTACATACATAAGGTAAACATTTTAGTATCTCTGTTTTTCCTTTTACTTTTCAGCCTCCATCTACCATTATAACATTACTTTTATAATCTTTGGGGCATAATATTTAGAGTCTCTTAATAATGGGAATTAAATTGTCCATGCTTTATCTACAGGTAGATTCTAAAAGTAAATCTATAAACAGTGTTTACAATAAGAACTAAGACTTGTGATGGGAGCAGAGAAGAGGAAATATTATCTTTTGGACCATAATGATATTGTTTAAAAGAGAATATTTAAAATAGCATAATCAAAAGGAATCTCTTCACTTATTCATTGACTCATCAATATTTATTGAGCTCCTACTATGGGTCAGGCATGTTCTGGGTAGTTTTGATATATTAAGAATTTCATGACAGATTAGATCTCAGGGTATGAGTTAAGAGGGAAATCAAGGATTATTCTGAGGTGTTTGGCCAGAGCAAGGTGGCCAGTATGAGTCACTGAAAATCCCACACATCGTATGCATTTTCAGTCGAATTTAGGAAGCCACAGATGCAGAGGGTTAACTAGTTATATTTGAATTTTCAACTGTGTGGGGTCAGTGCCCCAAACCCCTATGTTGTTCAAGGGTCAACTGTAAATCACTTTATGGCTTTTTTTTTTAAATTTCTAATTGCCTTTTTTCTTGTTAACAAAGAAGCACATACCTTTACCTGTAGGAAAGATCACCCAGCTTCTTAGTCTATATACTATCATGAATTCACTGTCTTTTTGAGGACACTCTTGATTGAAGCCTTTTTCTGTTAGAGTTTGAGCTGATTGCTTTTTACATTTGTGGCACCATGACATACTGGGATTTCTTTCCGTTGCATTTTTTTCTGGTCTAGTCTCACCATTTCTTACATTCTATGTATCTTTTCTCCATAAATTATTTTGACATTTTACAGTGGTCCTTAGTTTATTTTCACCTTGGTGTTCTTGGGGGTTATGATACATTTCCATCAGTGATAGTACTATTAATAGATATTGGAATATAGTGTTTTTTATACAGGTTCTCAGTCCTTTATCCATATTTCTGAACTCTAAAACACACTGAAAATTTTTTTTTTCTTTTTAAGCGTGGGTTCAAAACTCATGGAAGCAAAATATAGCCTGAACTAACTTAAAGCTATTTGTTGTCCTTACTGATCCCACTTATGTGAATATTCATAAGTTTTGCTGTATAAATATTATTTGATTTTAGGGTGTGCTCTAGATTTTGCTGGGGTCCTACATAATATATAGTATATGCATGCCTCTTAGGTGCACTAAGGTACAAACATCTGAAAAAGTCTGAATTCTAAAACACATTTGGCCCCAAAGAGTTTGGTTAAGGGATTGAAGATGTATTATGTTCTCTGGTACGTACTTGATGTGTAGCCTTTAAGTTTATAGCTAGAATAGTAATTGTGGGCAAAGCTGGGGACAGAGATTTGCACGACTTAAAGTTATCTGTCAGACTCCTAGCAGTTCTTCAGGCAGTTGGGTCTTTATTATCTGTAGGAGAAATGACATAGCCATAGGACACTGAATTATCCAAAAGTCTTCTCTGTTTGGTTTTGGAATATGTTTTGTGTTTGGGGGTTGCTTCTTACAAAATTTCTGGTTAGGTGCAATTTAGCCTAATACTACCTGTTTACAGCACCTCACCATATCCCAGCTGATGTGATGGGTGGCCAGGTAGCACTGTCTGAAGAGTGCATTTATCTACTGAGCATGATTATCTTTCAGGGTCTTCTTTGCGTGCCAACTGGGGCCTTATTCTCCTTGATCCTTCTTTCTTGAGGGTTCCATGAGCTTCTGCCCTCCATCCCAGCCTGTCCTAAAGCCTATTACTATAGGGTCTTATGCTCAGAGATCCATTGATGGGATTTTAGACTTATAACTGTGTTCATTTTAACAACATTACTAGGCATCTATGTGCAGAGCACTTGGGCATGCTTTTTGTTATTTAACCTTCAAAACAGTCTTTGAATAGGCAGGATAGGGGTTATCCTTCATTTTATGATAGGAATATTGGACCAGAGCCATCTGTGTGACTTGGCAAAAATCCCAGAGTAGGTGATGGAACTGGAATCCAGATCCAGATTTAATGCACCCTCTTTTAAACTCTTTGCAGTGGAGGAAGAAACAGTGCACTGAACACTCTTAAAAACTAAAGAATCAAACTAATCACCTATAGTGACATGTGGGCATCATAAAATCTTAGATTAGGAAACCTGCCTGGTGACCTCTGCAGTTGTCATTTTCCCTTAGTTTTAGAAAGTCAGAGGATTCACCCTGAGCTCCAGGGAGAAGCCAGTTGACACTGGTGGGTTTCTCTAAGAAATCCTCGCTTTCGTCCCCTGGAAGTGTTAGTGCCTCAGGTGCTTCTATATGCTGCCAACAAGGAGGTAGGTTTAAGAGGGTTGTAAATCCTGAGCTGACCTGCAGCATCCTCTCTCAGGGCCTTTATGAACTGAGATAACTGTCTGTTAGGACTGGCCAAGGAGAACTTTGTCTAAAGGTAGAGGGTTGTGATGGTTGTTGGGTGTTCCAGCTTCATTTTTAAGCTACTGAATGATTGTAGGTAATCATTACCCTATGCAAACCCATAGACCTATAGCCACTAGAGGGAGCTTTCCTCCTACTGAACTAAAATATAGTGGAGAGGAAAGGTGGCCCCTCCTCTACCATAAATACTTAAGACCTGCCTGGAGCAAGGACACAAACCTTGAAGTTTGGGGAGTAGGGCCAATTAACCACCCACTTCTTCCCCTCAGAAGTTTCAAGGCATAAGTCTGGTAAAGATGAAAATAAAATTCATCAGAGAGAGAGTGCCTTAGATATTGCCAAATGGGTTTGCTAATATATTCCTACCAAATATTCCAGTTTTAGCCCCAGGAAGAGCTGGACAACCACAGGCTTCCCTACTGAGGCAGGGCACACATCTCATGGCAGAAAAGACGTATGGACAGGCTTCTCAGAAAGGAGGGACTACAGGAATGGCTGAGAGCCACATGACAATTTTCTTTCATATCTTGGACCTTTTGGATAAATCACACATCCTGTAGGCTTCCCTCCTGAGAAGTGGATATTCCTATCTTCTGTGAATGTGTACAGTAGGGTATCAGTCTTCCACTCTCCGAGTTTTTTATTTTTAACATATTAGACTGGACACCGATACTACAGATAAGTGAAGCTGGGGGTGTGGCTATTTCCCTCAACAGTTTTAACCTTGGTCCCACCTTGTATAGCTAGCTATTTTCTGTATATAATGTTTTCGTTATGTGTTCTCCAGGGACCATTCCCTGGGTACCCATTTAGCTTTTGTCCCTAGGTTACTTAGTTCCTACCAAGACTGAGGAGATGAAACCTACTAAAGGAACATAGATAAGATAATCTCTCTCATCTAGACGAGTTAGATGTTGGTGTTAAGGGTGTGTCTCCTGGGAAGGATTATGGAACTGCAGAAAGATGAAAAGGTACAAGATTTCTCTGAACAAGGACTACTTCTGGTAGACCCAAAACTTACTGAATTTGAAGCATCTAATAAGACCTGGTAACACCAGGGCCTTCATTTATTAGCAAATTCTCCTCCACTTATAAACAAAGCCACAGTATTTGCTGTAACTGGGTAAGATTTTTTTTTTTTAAATAAGGGTCTTATATGGGGATATAACCTAACCTATCCCTGTAGGCTGAGCCAGAAGTTCCGATTTCTCCATATGGCCCTGTAGGGCCTTACCTTGTAACTTTAATGTTCCTGGTCTGTGTGCCATGGCTTTGGGGTTTAGCAGAACCACTATATAATCTTTATTCACTCCTCTTGAATTGGATTTAGTTCAGACATGAGAAGACTGTTGGAGATCAAATATCAGCTGATTAGAAAAGGAGGCTTAAATCTTTGGTAAAATGGACTTGCACACAAGTCCCTCTATCACTCCTACAATAAAACTGTCCCACCCAGGCCCAGGTTGAGCTGAAAAACTTTAACAGCAGCAGAGAGGGGCTTACCTCCTGAGAAAGAAGAATGCTTTGGGACCTCAGGGAGCCTGATTCCTTACTTTCTACTCCCTGCAATCTAGGAGGAGGACTGAAGTGAGGTGTTGGAGAGAAGTCATTGTCCCTAATGCAAAGCAGAAAATTTCTCTCTGGAAAAAAAGAATGAGGATACATGGTTCCCCAAAATCTAGTATTGATTTTAGCATATCAGAATTTAAAGACTTTTTTTTTTATTTTGAAAATACTTTGTTCCAGAGTAGAGAACTCCTATTTTTTCTTGAGTTTGAGGCCTCATATTTTGTCTTAATATTCTGGGCACCTGGCACAAGTCTGGTAATTATTTTTTGCCTGGCTGATATTTACAACAGTTTTTAAAATGTGTTAACCTAGCGGTTCCCAGGATTATGTGAAAAGTAGGTCAGTAACGTGAAATGTAAACGAATGTGGTGCGCTGATAACTTGTTATTTTACTGTGTAAAGATGTTAAAAAACGATACCTACTACCTCAAACATCACCCTAATTTCATAAAGAAAAAGTATATAAAAAAGTAGGAAGCATATAATCTTAGAATAAAGGATGAAGGCAGTTTTGTGGCCTTACATGCATGTACAAACACATCTAAATTGTGCTTATTTTTTCTAATTTTGCAGTCAGAGAAACTTGGTGATGGTCTGGCATTGAGAAGTGCCAGATTTTTCTGGGATGCTGCCAAGACTTGAGAGATGTCTTATAGGCCACTTAGTGTGTTCTCACTCTTTGCTTGTTGCTTTTTCCAAATAGAGCTCTATCAGAAAAAATTGTCTCAGTTCTTCCAAGGATGAAGTGTCCACACCAGCTGGAGCCTCACCAGATCCAGGGGATGGATTTTATTCACATATTTCCTGTTGTTCAGGTGAGACTTTCTGTGTGGTTTCTTGTCCTCTGAACATCAGATTCCTGTAACATTTCTGACTCTTGAGCTCTGTTCTGAATCTAATGGATGTGGTATGGATTTGGTGGCAGCAGAACATGACGTTTCTGATGTCTTCCTCTGAAGGTCGCAGGTACTCCACCTTCCTTAGTTTCACACCTTCACCTGATCTTTGAATGTTCCCATTAGTTGCTTTTCATTGTCTTTTTGGTAAAGCTAGGACTCTGCAGCCCTCATGCGCTGGTCACCTCTGACCTATCCAGACTCTTTCCTTGCTTTCCTTTGTTCTTTCTGTTTTAGTCCCTCTGATTCAGATTTTCTCATGGTTATTATGCTTCCTCCTGTTATAGGGCCTTTCCGAAAAGGCTCTTTCCTTTTCTTCTTAACTGCTTAATTCATATTTATTCTTCAGGCCTCAGTTCCACCAAGCCTTCTCAAGAAAGCTTCCTCTGACCCTTTAATCTAAAACAGGTTCTTTTGGTATATCCAGTTACATAGCCACATTCCCTTTCTTCATAGGAATGTTCCATACTGTAGTTTCTACCATATATATTCAAGTGTGTGGTTATTTATCTGTCTCCATCAGATTGTAAGCCTCATGATGGCAAGTACCATGACTGTCTTGTTCACTGTTGTGTCTCCAGCACCTCATGGACTGCCTGACACTTTGTGGTTATTTAGTTCTTATTTGATGACTAAATGCCTGATGGGAGACTTATCTCCATCTCAGCTTTTCCCAAAGATTCTGTGATTAAGTGGCTCATGCTGTATAGCTCCCGATATTCTCTGCAGTTCTTGTGTGCCTCTCCTCTAAGCACCTTGAAAAGAGAAGGAGCAAAGAGAGTTGCCTTTGTTGTCTGCGTTGTGAACAATACTTTGCATATACCGAATTTTTGAGATTCTAAGACGCACTGGACCATAAGACGCACCTAGGTTTTACAGGAGGAAAACAGGAAAAAAATTTTGAAGCAAAAAATGTGGTAAAATATTCAATAACATAAATAACATAGGCCGCTGCCCCTCCCCCCACAGCAAGCCAGGTAAGCTACATTTGGACTATAATTCTCACCCCCATTTTCCTCCCAGATTCGGGGCGGGGAGTGCATTTTATAATCTGAAAAATATGGTAATCCTAATAGAGACTCTGAAGCATGTATTATAATCCTCATCTGAACATCTCAGGAAAGTGAGACTCAGAGAGGGTAATTGATCTGCTTAAAGGCAGAGTAGAAAAGCAAATGTTCCAGTCTAAACTCTCTATCTCCAAGCCTTGTACTTTCCCACTCCGCTATTCATGCAGCCACCTACAAGAAAGCTGCACAGCCCTTGCTAGAAAAGTCTTAACTCTCAAGATTATATAGTGTAGGTACATGGACTCTGGAGATTAATTTTTCATCTGTGAAATAGAGGTATTAATAGTACCTACCTGATAGGATGAAAATTAAGTTACTATGTGTAAAGCACGTAGCTGAAAGACTGGCACATTTAGTAAGTGTTTTATAAGTGTTATACAGTTGTTTTGTTGTTATACTCTTCCTGGGAATCTTTGCTACGATAGACTTCAAATCAGATTCCATGAATTTGTAAATTTGAGGCTAAGACTTTTACTCAAAATTTGATTTGTATCTGTTAGACTTTCTGTCTCTGCAATTCAGGGAAATGGTACCTAATCCTTTTTGTGAAAATAGGAAGTAGGGACCCTCTGTTGATTTTTACTGAAACCTCATACACTGTCACTCTGTGAAGTTGTTGCCTTTCCCCCCTGAAAGCCTGGATCTCTAGTGATTAGACCTTGTTCCACCATATGCTAGAATATTACGGGCAAAAAAATCTAGTCCAGATATGAGAAGGGGATGAAAAGGAAATGATCTTTTGTAGTTAGTGTGGGCATTTTGAATGTCTGTGAATGAACAGTTCTGTTTTGAGAGTAGAATTCTGGAGGACTTTCTGTCTGGATGTGAGAGCCTAAGCTAGTGGTTACCAGATCTTAATTTCATGGACCTATAAAATTTAAAAGCAAAAGTGGAGGTTGACTGACAATTGCACCTGTATTTTTCCAGGCAAGGTTGTTTTTATCTTGCTTTCACCATTACTTACTAAAAGAAATGCCATTTAACCTCAATCTCAGTATAAAGGACAGGTCTTCAAATTTAATAACTTTAGCATTATGAAAAACTCACCACATGTCTGTAGCCTTTTCCTGTTTTGCTGGAGACAAATTTAGAGAACATTCATGGACCATAGATTGGAAAATTCTGAACTAATCGTCTGTGTGATTCTAGAGGGTCACCTCCTGTGTTCACTCTGTTTAGTGAAGCTGCAGTTACATTCTGAATGCCAGCTAAGAGAAAAGCAATCCAGCTTCCAATCACTGTTAGTTCTAGGTCACATCTTTTTCTCTCATGCCAGACATGTGAATCCTGTGAGGGCAGTAATTTTTTTTTGAATGCTTGGCACCTGTGACAGAGCTTGGTCATCCAAGGTGTTCGTTCCCTCCATAGCCCTTCACACTGGGATCTCCAAAACAGAACAATCAATTCCCTAAGGGAATCCTATGACTCAACAGGCTTTACTTTCCTTTTCTGATCACACTCTTCAGGATCCAGACAAATAATTATTCAGTGTAGATCTGATTAATGGAAGAAAATCTGAATAGGAAACAAGCCTGAAAGGCCAGAAACTGGATCTCCCCATATGAAGGAAACCAGAGCAAAATTGGGTTGAGCAGGAGTCAGCCTCCTTTGTTGTCCTGGGCTATGCTGTTGCATGAGGGTGCAAGTAAGATGCTAGAGTAATAATTCTTCTTTTTTTTTTTAATTTTAATTGTCATTCAGGTACAGTTGTCTGTCTTTTACTTCCATCCCAGCCCATCCCCCCCCAAGCTTTCCCCACCTCCCTCCCCTTTCCACTCCCCCTTAGTTTTTGTCCAGTGCCTTTTATACTTGTTCCTGTAAACCCTTCCGCTTTTCCCCTGAAATTCCCTCCCCTCTCCCCACTGGTCACTGTCAGCCTGTTCTCTATTTCAGTGTCTTTGGTTCTATTTTGCTTGTTTGTTTTGTTGTTTGGGTTCCTGTTAAAGGTGAGATGATATGGTATTTGTGTTTCACAACCTGGCTTATTTTGATTAGCATAATGCTTTCCAGTTCCATTCATGCTGTTGCAAAGTGTAGGAGCTCCTTCTTTCTTTTGGCTGCATAGAATTCCATTGTGTAAATGTACCATAGTTTTTGATCCATTCATTTACTGATGGGCACCTAGGTGGCTTTCAACACTTGGCTATTGTAAATTGTGCTGCTATGAACATTGGGGTGCATAGGTTCTTTTGGATTGGTGTTTCAGGGTTCTCAGGATATAAACCCAGCAGTGGAATTGCTGGGTCAAAAGGCAGATCCATTTTTAGTTTTCTTAGAAAATTCCATACTGTTTTCCATGGTACTAGCGTAATTCTGAATGCTTTCTGACCTGCCCTGCTTCTGGATTTTAATGCCTGAGGTCATTGGAACTGGGGTAGAGTGAAGTGATGGAAATAAATGGAAGATATTAACAACAAAAGAATATTTCTCATATAGTTACTTGCAGCCACCCTTATCTTGGACAACTTCCTAAATGTGACCTTTACTTGGGCTGGCCCCCTCCACACACAAACATTCTTTCCAACCCTGTGGGAACAGTATGTTGTATGCCATGTGTCTACTTTCCTAGGTGGTTATATTTTGCCAAGTGTGGCTATGCTGTCAGGGAAACACAACTACTGTCTAAAAACTGCTTTTGAGATGTAATAGCTCTCTTTGGAGAGAGAATGACAACCCTGACAGATGGGATCCCATTCTGTAGTGTTCTTTAGTAATAAGGGGAATGAATGAAGAGCCAGGGTAGAGAAGCGAAGGCTGTTTTTTGCTCTTGCATCCTTCCACCCTTTATGGGATGTGGGTGTGTACATGTGTGTGTTTTAACTAACTGGGGTTTAAAATAGGGAAAAATCAATAGTAGTTACTCCTGCATATCAGCCCAATAGAAGTGGGAAACATTGGTACTAAAACCCACATGTCCAGTCTTCTGGTGTGGAAGACCCACCCCTCCAGTTGTGACTTGTGGCTTTGTGGATTGCTAGCTATGGATCAGTGCACAAATTATGTAGCCTATCTGAGCGTCAGGTTCTTTAAAACACAGCAAGCACCAACTACTTCATAACATGTGGATTAAGAAAGAAAATGTGATGACCAAACCAACCCAAAGCCAAGGGCTATGTATTTAGTATACCCTATTGTCAAATCTGACTATTTGGAGTTGTTTTTTTTTTTAAATCTGTCAAATGAGTGGTTATACTTGGTGTTCTCTGGTTCTTCCCTGTTCTCTGGTCCATGGTGCAAGCAGCACAGGAGAGAGATATATTAAGATCTGCCTAGAACCAGATAGTTGTGTTACAGAACAAACAAGGGGGGGCCTGGGACGATATACTATTATTGAAAGAAGGCCCCGGGTCCGTTATGTCCGCCGCCAGAGGAAAGACGTCTCTCAATGCCAGAGATTCGTGAAAAGGAAAGGAAATGTTTATTTAATGCTATACAAACTTAAAGTAGTGACCTAATGTCTTTATCAAAAATCCTAAAGTCCCTAAAAACACCCACAAACAGACACAGTCCTTCCTTCCTTCCCCCTTTGCCCAGTCCAGAATACCGTATCTCAGGAAAGGAAATAGAAGTCCATGGCTCAGGCAGTCCCCTGGTTCTTCCCAGTTAGTACTCCATCTTGACTGGGAGACCTCCCTGGGTTCCCGGCACCCTCCGCTGAGTCACCGGGATCTCTGCTAAAACCAGGTGGTGGTTCCCCTTCTAAAGCTGTGGGAGTCCCCACTCTGTCAAGGCCACGTTGTTCTCTCTCTCAGGGCTGCCGCATCTGGGTTTAAATCCCTGCGCTAGTCTTCCTCTGCAGCCCCATTTCCGACTCCTCCCACACTTGGCCTCACATGCCAGAACTCATATCCTTCCAGCTTTACTGGACTGCCACCATGAGTCTGGCATGTGAGGCTCCATGTCATGGAGCCAATCTTCTCCAAGCTCCCACGCAGGCCCTGTAGCTGTAACTCGGGGGACCTGCCCCCCAGTCTTGGTGGGGTAGTTACTTCCATTCCCCAGGCTCAGAGCATGGCAACAGCTATTTAACATATCTAAGCGACCAGCCTAAGGCTATAGATATGTTAAATGACCACACTAGAGGTTAGCTACAATGCTGTTGCTATGTGAAACAGCTCTCAAAGGCCCTGCTCCACAACTGGGGCGGGGCGGGGGCGGGGGGGGGGAGAAATCTTAAAATCTCCTGGACACCTTAAGTTCTGGACCCCATTTCAAGTGCCCATTTGGGGTCCCCCCTCTTGGCTGCACCCTGTAACAGTTGTGGGAAATAGCTCTGTTTTTGTTACGCTTCATGTATTTGCAAAATATTCCAGTACTTGTGATTTCATTTGCTTCTCACAGCAGCTCTATGAGGTGAAAGGAACTGATATTCTCACCTCTGCATTACACAGAGAGGGAAACTGAGTCCTGAGGATCTAAGGTGAGGCTTTAAAGCTTTCGCACATCTACTCAGCTCTAGGTCTCACTGGATCATAGCATCTCAGATGTCCATTTGGTACCTTTGCCTGTAGGACAATACTTGTTGACAGTTTATCACTCAGCCCATTCAAATATGGTGGTTTGTTTTGCAAGTTGTGCCATTTCTAAGTTGGCCTTCACCATGGTGGTATTTCATCTGTACTCACAGTCCTAACTTTCCTCCCCAGTGGCTGGTGAAGCGAGCTATAGAAACAAAAGAAGAAATGGGTGACTACATCCGTTCCTACTCTATATCCCAGTTCCAAAAAACCTATAGTCTCCCTGAGGTGAGTTTTCTACCTTTCTCTTGTCCAGCTGAGACCATGATTGCACTCTTAGAGATTCCCTGGGAAGGAGCTCAGTAAGCTCAGGCTCCCCTATGTGCTCACCCCCCTGCCATCTGTGATTCTACTGGGTCAGCATTGAAACAGGGCCTCTTGGGTTATTGGAACTGCCTCTTTCTATGAGCACTGAGTATAAAGTCCTACAATTTTGTCCTTTTGTCTCAGTGTTGGTTCTTGGTCCAGAGCTTTTTTTAAATTAAGAGAACGTGAGTATATTTTTGTAGAGTTACATAAAGCTTTTCCAGAGACCATCTGCTGAGGACATTCCTGTATTAATAGTTTAGTAATAATCCCAACAACAATAGCTGACAGATATCAAATTCTTACTTGTTCCAGTCTCAGCTTATCACACGCCTTCTACTCCTTAGTCCTCTCAACTGCTTCCTGAGATAGGTGGTGTCCCATGTTATAGATAGAGAAACTGAGGCTCAGAGGTTAGGTAACTTGCCCGAGGTTTCAGAGCTCATAAGGATTTGAAATGAGAATATTTGTCTGTACCACTACGCTCTATGGTTCCCCTTTTTCTTACCCACTGTAGGGATCTGTTTAGGAGCCATCTGCAGAGGCCCTAGCTTTTCCCATACAAAATATATTTCAATTTGTTAGAAAATTGAGACTTTTTCTGGCAAAGTTATGTGAAGAGATTTCTGAGCAGTCCAGTTGAGTTTCAGTCTTCACACAAGATTTGTTTAATCCCTGTGTTTTGTTTTACAGGATGATGACTTTATAAAGAGAAAAGAAAAGGCCATCAAGACTGTTGTTGACCTCTCAGTAAGTTTCCCTGCCCCTATTCTTCTGGAAAAAGAAGAACAAAGGCTTACAGTCTGCAAATAGCACTTTGATTTAAATCACAAAACCCTGGTGAAACCCCTCTCAGGTTTCTCTCTGCTGGGGTTGCCCAGGAGCTGACCTCTGGTGAGTGAGAGGGAAGCCCTGCCTGTCTTTTGTGCCCCAGATTTGAACACCACCATTCATGGGTAAAACTTGACACAACCACCACCCTATGTTTTCCTTAGTTTCAGCTTTAAGGGAGAAATTGTCCAAACCTGAAGCCCTTCCTCTTTTGTGCCAGCCAGTGACAGGTGTAACTTTGAATAGCTCTAAAGAAAGCAGATAAGCAGATGAGAACTGGAGATGGTAAATTTGGGTCATCACCTCCATGGTGGCTTTGGAGAGGCAGAGCAGAATCTGAGCTTTGCATAAGAAACTCTGGAATGGCCTTTGTCATCATATACAGTGTATCTTAATGATGGGGGACTGCACTCATGTGCCCATTTCCCCAGTGCAAGGGGCAGAGGAAAGCTTTGGGCTTTTTCAAAACACTGTGGGCCAGAGCCCAGCAGAAGCACTGTCAGCCCACCTGCACCTTACTTTCCAACCTTCTTGCCTGAGCTGAAGGGAAGGAAGCTTCAATGCCTGGGTAGAAATTCTCTTCCAAAAATAATATATAGTGCTATTTTGCATGATTTTTACTTTAAGAATAAGTATGTGGTCTCCCAGGATGATTACTCTGAAATGAGTAACAGTCACTTGATGGTGAAAGACATGAAGTGCTTGTTTAAAACAATAACAAAAAAGTCTTTCTCACTTTATAATTATAATTTGTATCTTTTCCTCAGTTCCATTTTGGAAGTGGGAGGAGTGGAAAATTTTTAATATAGTTACACTCTGAAGTCAGATTTGGTGGCCATATTAGAAATAAGAAGAAAAAGAGTGCCTTGAGTGGTGTGGCTGAGTGATGGGCATCATCCCGCAAAGTGAAAGGTCGCTGGTTGATTCCTGTTCAGGGCACATGCCTGGGTTCCAGGCCCGGTCTCCAGTTGGGGCGTGTGCGAGAGGCAACTGATGGATGTTTCTCTCACACATTGATGTTTCTCTTCCTCTCCTTCTGCCCTCCCACTGTCCCCTCTCTCTAAAAATACAGTCATACCTCAGTACTTGTTGGCTTTAGAACTCATCAAACCCTGTACTTGTGGCATTTTGATGAAAAAAAAAAATGTTTCAGCACTTGGCACTTGCTCCGGATTCCGTGCACTTGCTAGAACTTGTATGACTCACGATGCTGCTCTGCAAGAGAAAGTGTTTCATCATTGGGTGCTTGTTGGTTTTGGCACTCATTATGAATTCTGAAACAAATTAACAACAAGTACCGAGGTACCACTGTAAATAAAATCTTTTAAAAAGAGAGCACATGATATGACAGCAGAGTAATTTTTTTTTTCTGGTGTTGATATAGATGTTCAGTTTAGAACTTCTTTAAAGTTATTGTTTTGAAGTTGGTAGATACAGGGGAAGAAAATCAACCTTAATCTCAGAATATAGAAGCATCCACTTTTGATGTTTGTACATACTTCTTTTATGTTATTGTGCATTTTTATGCTGAATTGGAATTATACTTTAAATATAATTTTGTCGGTTTTTTTTCACTTACCAGTACAGTCTTTAAGCTATTAAAGATTCTTCCTAACAGCATTTGTCGTGACAAATAATAACCAATTGGTTGGATGTGCTGTTGCTTTCCCTTATTTTAAATGATGCTTCATCTTTAGAAAGAGAGGAGAACTAAGCATTACCTCTGATACAAGAAGCTAAGGAGCCAGTGGCAGTAGAAAGAGGGAAATTCTCTTTGAATTTTGTACTAAGTTTGTGTATTACTTATTCAAACACAATAAATAAAAGTAAAGTTTTTGTAATGCTTTATTGAATATCTTCACATGTAAATCTCACTATGATCCCTGGGCAGAAAGTAAGAAAACATTATGGTTTTTAGCCACGTTTCCCAGAATAAAAAGCCATTGTAGCTGTCGATAATCCTATCAGTGAAAGAGGGCCTGACATCTCTATACCTATTAAATATCTCAGGCCTCCAGAGAAATTATTTCTTCTTTTCATTTGTAATAGAGTTTTTTAACCTCCTCTTCTTGATAATGTGACTGTATAGAATTTAAGGAGATGATAATAACAAATACATAGTACCCAGATATTATTCTGAACATTAATGTGTAACAGCAGCCCTATGAAATAGTAGTATTTTTTTAAACAGGTGAGGAAAGTGAGGCACAGATAGGTTATATAAGTTGCCCAAGGTCACATTGGTGATGATGGCACCAGGATGCAAACCAACATGCTGTGAGTCTCTAGATAAAAAGATGTGTGTGACTGATCAGAAGATAATATCAAGATAAAGGAAAATGAAAAAAAATTATATAATAGTTTGTATTGTTTAGTTTATTTCCTTTTTTATGTGTAAACCTACTTGTTGACTGTCAATACATTTTTGGCAGGAGTGGTTAAGAATTTCTGTAGATGGCAAGAGCCAGGCTGTGGGATTTATTTTCTTCTCTCCCTGTCTGCTGGAAATAGCTCCCACTTCCAAACTCTTAGGTTTCTTAGCTGCATTCCATTGCCATTTACTTCCATCTCTCCCACCTACCACTTCTGCGATGGCTTCCTTGCAGCCTTGAAATGAGTCCCAGGAACTCATAAGAGACTCCAGGGCTGCAGTGCATGTCCCTGGCTTATTGTGAGTCTGTGTAAGAAATGGAATAGGTTGCTGTTTTTTTGTTGTTGTTGTCACTATTCCCAAGGAGAATCCTTCCTTCAGTAAAGGGAATGAATCTTTCTTAGATGACCAGGGGTTGTGGCTCTTTGGAAGTCTCAGGTTCTAAAGAGGGATTTTTTTCTTCTTCAGTCTTTCCTTAGTTCTCCTTTCAGGTACTTCATCAGTATTTTTTACCTGCTCCTTATTGACAAGCCTGAAGTTCAAAATTTAAACTGTGAATGGTAAATTAAGGATTAAAATCAAGTCTAATATACAGGTCCCTACTTTCAGACCCAACCTTTTATATAAATTGTGTGCAGCAGCCATGTATTGATTGAGTGTCTTCTCTGTGGTCGGCACCTAACTGGGTATTTTATAGGCATTATCTTATTAACTCCTCAGCAACACTCAGGGAGTGACGTGTTATTATTTGTATTTCATAAATTAGGAAGTTGAATCTCAGAAAGGTTAATAATTCCCTACATAGCAGCCAGGAAAAAGCAGCCAGTTTTGATTTTATATCTGACTCCTCCAATGGGACAAGTGTTGGTGCTTTTTTACTTTTCTCTGTCTATCTGCTCTCTAATTTCCCATTTATCCTGGTGCTGATTTTGCAATACTGTTCTTGACTCTAGGACTCTGAGCTGTTATTCATCTGGGTCCCAGAGACTCAGAAACATCAGATTGGTTATGTGCTCCCCTATGACCTCAGCATTCACTTACGGGAGCATTTACTGTGACTTTTCCCATTTGAAGACCCTTTGTTTGTCCAGCTGGAGAATGTTTGCCAAAATGGTGATTGTCCTATTATTTTTTTTTAATGAATTAATATGTACCAGTGTGCTTCAACAGAATGATTTTACTTATTTTTGCTTACAAATAATTTTTTTAAAAATAAATTATAAACATTTTAATATTTTTCAAAACATATAACTTATTCTTGATTTTAGCCAACCTTATAGGATTGTTTCAGTCTTTTACATTTGTCCTTGGTTATATCGCCCATCCATTTTTTTTTTTGGTGCATGATTTTTTGTTCTTAAAAAGCTTATTTTTCTTTTATGCTAATACTAATAATAATAATGAAAAATTGAGAAATGAAGAAATGATGCGGACCCCGGCTCATGGGGTCTGCCACATTGTGGATGAGATACAAGACAAATTCACATGGACTATTGAGTTCTGTGGAAGAAAAGGGATGGCATGGCCACTCTCTCAAGAGGAGAGGGCCCCCGACCCTTGCCTTGACCGACTTTTATTGCTTTTCTGGGCACCTTACATGATGGTCCTCATTTACTATGCACAGGTTCGCTTTAGATGGTTACCTTTTACAGAAAACAAAGGAGAGGAAGCCACTAATTGCTTCAAAGAGAAGGATGTTTGAAAATGCAAAGGGAAAAGTGGTTGAACTGGTTACACTCCATACTGGGGAGGTTTACCACAGACTTTAGGAAGTCACAGTAAGCACTTGCTGCCTCAATTTGGTGTGAGGGAGTTTTAGCAAAAAGCAAGTCTCAGAGCGGCCTAGGTACAATGCAGGCCTGATTTCCCACGGGAGAACCTATCCGTGGGGGTGGGTCCTGTCTGGGCCCACACCATGCCGAACAGTTCCTATAGAGAAAAATTACAAAGACAAATCAGCCATGATACTACCAGCCAGGGATAATCACTGATATCCCAATTAGGAAATACAGAGTTATGGATATCCATATAGAATTAGGAAATGTAAAAACAGATGGCACTATGCTATATATTCTGTTTTGATGCAGGCTTGTTTTGCTCAAGAAAGCTAATATAAGCTAGGCTATCTTTCCATGCCAATAAATCTCCGTAACATTTTTAATGTCTGTAGATTATTCATTGTGTTGTAGTAATGTAACTAGCTTAATTTTGAGGCAGGGCACTATGTAGTACATCCTCATAGCTAAATTTTTTCTTTTATCTTTAGTTATTTTCTTAGGACATATTCCATGAAGTAGAATTGGGTCAAAGGTTATGCCTAAGGCTAATAGTACCTTTTGCCAGATTGCCAGCAGAAAGACTGTTGTGAACTATAACTTGAGCTCCTCACCTTAGATGCTTTCACTCTTTTTTTCCATTATTATTTTTTTATTTTAATTGTTGTTCAAGCACAGTTTTCTGTCTTTTACCCCCATCCCAGCCCACCCCTGCAGCCTTCCCCACCTCCCTCCCATTTCTACCCCTCCTTGTTATTGTCCATATGTCCTTT